GGGAACGGATGGAAAGGTTCAACAGGTGTCTTCTTCCTGTAGCTCCTAGGGCCACGCCCCCCATTGCGACCACGCCCCCTTCTGGCGGCCGGCCTGGTGGTTCCGGGCCGGCCTCGCCTCCAGCCAGAGCTCAGTCACTCTTCCCTCTGCTGAGATCTCGCGCTGTCCTGGGGGTTGTAGTTTGTCTTCCGAGCTACCAGGGCGTTGGGGCCACGCCCCCACATCCTTTCCTGTTCCGCTGAAGTAGTGCCTGATGGAAGTTGTAGTTTCTATGGAGATCAACTGTTCGTGACTTTCGAGCCCAGGTCAGCCAGGCACAAAAAGATCCCGTGGGGTTGGGACAGAGGATGGATCTGAACAGCAGATAATAGTGGGGGACACACCCCAGAGCCCGGGGAGAAATAGGGGTCTCCGCATCCCTGTGTGAGTGGAGGAGCCCTAATCGCTTAGACCTAGGAGGGTTCGTCCATGCGATCCTAACTGCATTTTATTTTATTTTTTAAGTTTATTTTGAGAGAGAGAGAATCCCAAGCATTGTCGGTGAAGACCCCTCAATATGGGACCGGAACTCACAAACCTCGAGATCGTGACCTGAGTGGATTGGCGTGCTTAGCCGACTGAGCTACCCAGGTGCCCCCCATAACTGCGTTTTAGAGAAAAGACTGCAGCCTACAAAGGTTGCCCATGATAGAGCTGAGCCAGAGGGGTGTCGGAAAGCGGCTCGCAGCTGGGTGGGGAGGCATCTCTTTGGAGTCAGGGGTAAGCAAGAACACACAGGAGGTGACCCAGGAATACACATCTGGCTCAGGGAAGGGACCTGCATATTAATGATGCCCACCTCAGACACGAGTGAGGGCAGGAAAAAAAAAAACAAAAAACAAAAAACCACTTTGACATCTGCCAGCTCGTGTATGTACATGGAAGAGTTATCAGGACCAAAAAATCAAGTCCAGAGGAAAATCCCAGCTGGGCTGGGGCAGGGCAAGGGGAAATTATCAAGAGAAAAAATGACTTTCAGTTACCACGGCTATCAGAGGCACAGCTGAAGTCGGGGATGAGACTAAGAGCCAGAATGAGAAGACAGAGCCACAGGAAACCAGGGACAGGCTCACAGCTCAGAGCGACCCCTGGCTGGACCAGGTGCCCTCCCCTCTCCTCCCACCCTGGGGACTGAGTCTGAAGTGAGATAAGCCTGAGTCAATGGCAAGAGAATGAAGCAGAGACACCGAGAAAAATTATAGTGGCCTGTGGAGGGGACCTCTCAGAATCCAGAGCTCAATTTGGGGAGCCCAGAAATCAGGGGTTCCTAGTCATTGACAGAGGGAACCCTTCTCCCTCGGCCACCTCGAGCCCCAAAACACAGCCCAGAACTGGGGAGGCAGGTTCCCATATATCTGGCTGTGACCCAAGAGACCTGATTGAGAAAACCGAGGATGAGGCTCTATCTCACAGTTTTGGGGTGATCAGGCAAAGGGTACCCCTACATCTTCCCTCCTCCCTAGAGGGTGACCTCTCACTCACACTAAAAACAACGAAGTTCTCCGGGTTCTGTGGGAGCTTTGACGATGGTGGGTTTGGGTGACTAGGGAAAGGAAAAGTTTCTCTAAACTCTAAATAAAGCACTGCCGTCCATCAGGATTTTCTGCGACGATGGAAATGTTCTGAATCTGTGCCGTCCAATATAGTAGCCACCCGTGCCTATTGGGCCCTTGAAATGTAGATGCTGAGACTGAGGAACAGGATTTTACTCTTTTTGCTTTTGTTTTGCTTTCATTTTTTTAAAGTGGGGGGCTTGAACTCATGAGCCTGAGATCAAGAATTACGCGCCCCACCTAACTGTGCCGGGCGCCCCTGAAGTTTGTTTACTTTTCGTTAAATTACGTTTTAATCGCCATATGTGGCCAGTGGCTACTGTATCGGACAATGCAGCTCGAGGGCCTTGGGGACAATGGGTTTCGCTACGTGGCAATGCAGGAGCAGGGACAAGGCTAGCACCAGTCTTCCTGAGGCCCCGTGGCTGGCCAGCGTCGGGAATGGGGCTGGGGTGGATGTCCTCAATCAGCCACAGAACACTTCTCTTGTCTCTTTATTCCCAATGCACCTTTGTCCCCTCTTTTTCCAGGGTCCTCACCACACACTGATGTCCCCACTCCCTGATGGTCTCCGGTGAGTTGCTGGGTGCCTCTTGGCGAACGCGCCTGGGAGACAGAGCTTCGCACTTGTCCCTGCCCATCTGTCTTTGGCGGGCGTCAAAGACCACGTGCCCTACCCGGGTGCCCGACCCAGGACAGTAGGGCTTCCAGTTGTTTTGGGGAGGCATAGACTTCTGGCGATGGTTCTGGCAGGCTGAAGGGATGGTGTTCACGGGACGATACACCCAGTCTTGGCTGCCTGCTCGCCGGGGGGATGGCTGCAGCTCGATCAGCACGGGTACCTCTGAGAAGGTGTGCAGGTCACTGTAGACCACCTGGGGTTTGGAGGAGTAGTTCTGACTCAGTGGAACAGAAATCCATGATAGGTGCTGCTCTGGACCCTCCTTCCGAGGAGCCTCCTCAGGTACAAATGACTTTGTCATTTGTGTTGCCTTTGGGGTCTGAGGTAGGCCCGAGACCTGGACAGTGTCAGTACCTAGGACAAGGCCTGGGTTCTTGTGGTGGTGGGGACTTGGGGTAAGGCACGAATCCTTGCAGAGGCCCGATCCCCCAGTAAGGCCTTGAGTCCTGGGGAGGCCATGGTCTTGGGTAAGGGCTGGGCCCTTGTGGGGGCCAGGATCTTGATTGATTCCTGGGTACTTGTGGAAGTTAGGGTCTTGGGTGCGTTCTGGGCTCCTGTGAATTCCAACATCTTGTATATGGCCGCATCTCCTTTCGACTTCAGTGGCTTGTGTAAGGCCTGGATTCTTATGGAGATCAGAATCTTGAGTAAGGCCTACGCTTCTGTAGACTCCAGAATCTTGGGGAAGGCCTGGGTTCTTGTAGTCTCCTGAGTCTTGGGTAAGGCCTGAGCCCTTAAGAAGGCCAGAGGTTTGGACCAAGCCTGGGCTTTTGTTGACTCCAGAGTCTTGGGCAAGGTATGGGCTCTTATGTGGGCAAGAATCTTGGGGAAGGTCTAGACTCCTAGAGACTCCCGACTCGTTGGCATTACCTGTACTCTTATAACCTCCAGAATCTTGAGAAGGGCCTGGGCTGTTATGGAGACCAGTTGTTTGGGAGCAATCTTGACTTTTATAGAGTATAGTCTCTTGGTTGTGTTCTAGATTCCTATAGACTCCAGAGTTTTGCATAAAGCCTGAGCTCCTCTGAATGTCAGAAGTTTGGGGAAATGGTGTGATTTTGTGGAGGTCAGAAGGTTGGGTGAGACATGGGCTCCTAGAGATACCTCCATCTTGAATAGGACCTAGATTCTTCTGGGGGCCAGAATCTTGGGTAAGGACTAGATTCTTGGGAAGTCCAGAGTCTTGGGAAGGGCTTGGACTCTTGTAAAGATAGGGGTCTTGGGGAAGGCCTGGGGGCTTGTTCAGGCCAAGATCTTGAACAAGGCCTGGGTTCTTGTAGGGGCCTGGATTTGGGGCAAGGCCTGGGTTCCTAGGAACTCTTGAGTCTCTTGAAAGGTTTGGAGTCCTTTGGAGGTCAGAGTTTTGGTTGAGGCCCGGACTCTCGTGAAGTTCAGGGGCCTGGGGTTGGATTGGGGGTTGCAACGTCTCGGAGAGCTGGGGAGGGATGGGAAACTGGGAAGAGGGGGTGGATGGAGAAGACTTGGAGGTTGGGGGATTTTGATGGTTGGAGAGTTGACGGAGGACAAAGGATTTGGGAGGCATAAGAGGCAGAGATAGAGTGCATGGTGGAGGAATAGTGCCCAGCACGCTCTGGCCACCGGTTGGAGAATGAACGCAAGGTTGTGAAGGTATGGCATCCTTGGAGTAGACCACGCACTTGGGGTAGACTGGAGTCTGGGAGTCTGTGTGTTTCCTCTCAGAGCTGCAAGGGTGGAAGCTGCAGTAAGGGAAGGTCTTGGGCTGTAGGAACTTGTCTTTGGCGTCATTTGAGATCTTCCATTCCATATTCCCCAACTCCAGGTAACCCAGTATGGACCCTGCGGAGGGCTTGGCACTGTCCCCACTATGTGGCTTCGGTGTTTGCTCCGCTGCCCCAGAACTGCCCAGACCCTGCCCCTCTTGGGCCCTGGGGAGGGTGCCCAAGTCCTTTCTGGAATACCCAGAGTTCTGGGGCGGGCACACGTGGCATAAGTTCTGCTTTGCCCTGCGGGCATCGTAGACCACCTGGCCAGTGGAGAGGCCTTGGCTGAAGGCAGTCGGGGTAGAGGGAATAGGAGTTAGGATGGGGGTAGGTATGGTGGCAGAGACAGAGATAGGAATAGGGACAGGAGCGGTAGTCAGGGTCATGACCAGAGCTGAGGTTGGGACAGAGATTGAGCCAGGGGCTGGGGTAGCAGTTGGGGGAGGCACTGGGGCAGAGGCGGGAGCAGGGAGCAGAGTGTGAGGGGTGGGGGTATAGGTCACACGAGCATGGGCCGGAGGGAAGGCTGGGGCATGGGCTATTGTGTGCCCGGGACTGTGACCCAGGGAATGGGCTGAGGGGTGCTCAGGGTCATGGGCCTGGGCAGCAGTGTGCTGGGTGTGCTCAGGGGTGAGGCCTGGGGGACGTGGAGGGGCCTGGGCTGAGGCATGCTCGGGGGCAGGGGCTGGGGAGAGGATCTGGGCTTGGGGGTCGGGGTGCTCAGGAGTGAGGGCCGGGGAGGAGGGCTGGGCCTGGAGGGGGTTGTGCTCAGGGGTGTGGGCTGGGGGGGAGATCTGGGTCTGGGTCTGGGCCTGGAGGGGGTTGTGCTCAGGGGTGTGGGCTGGCGGGGAGATCTGGGCCGGGGCCGGGGCCTGGGCCGAGTCGTACTCTGGGGTCTTAGTCTTGGTCTCGGGCAAGTGGAGAGGAGCCATGTCTGCCTTGCTCATCCAGGGGAACTGGGAAGGTGTCTCGTGCCCGGAGAGGAAGGGCGCCCGGGCCTCTGAGGCTGTGACCTGAGGGGCCTCCCCGGCTCCCATCACCCTTTCCTTCCACAGTCCCCATGGCGCGTCCACAGGACCCCCTGCGTGTCCACCCCGAGGCGGCATCCAGCGGCACCCGGAGGCCTTCTCGTCTTTTGTGTCTACTCTCCAGGAGTCCAGGTGGTCGGAGCGCCCCGGCAGGAAGCGACGATGGTAGCCGGAAGAGACTCTCGAGCACAGGTTCTTGGGGTCCTCGGAGCAGCACGCGCACGTGGGACGGTTGCCCACGCCTCTGGCTTGCTTGTCTGCAGGGAAATCGGGATGGGATGAGGCCCGGCTTCCTGAGGGGCCCGAGAAAGGGGGACAGGCCCACATCCCCTTGAGGCCACGCTGGGGCCAGCTCACCTTTGGGGAAGAGGTGACGGAAGAGGAGCCGCAGGTTGCTCTTCAGATGCCTCCAGAGCTGAGGGACGCGGGGAAAGGGGGAGTCCGGAAGCGCGGTGAGCCCCGAAGGCCCGCTGCCCTCCCGCCTCGGCCCCTTTGAGGCCCCCGCCCCCCGCCCCTGGTGCCCAGCCCTGCCCTGACCAGAGTCACCACGTTGATCCCCACGTTGAGCAAGATGAAGCTGCCCAGAATCAGAAGAATTGAGTCTCCGAGGTCCTGGCACTTCCTGGGGTGGGTGCCAGAGCACCCCGGCGCTCCGGGGTGGGCTCGCTGTCCCATGGCCGGGGGCCCCAGGACTGCTTGGGCCCCCTGGCCCCCACATACTCGCTAGGAGCCAGGCTCCTCTGGCGGGGGAGGGGGAGAAGGACTGGGTCATAATGGGGCCGGGCGGCTGGGGTCACAATGAGGGAGGGCTGGGGACAGTGTGCCCTGGTAACTAGGTCACCTGAGCCCGGACGGTCAGGTGGGGCCTGGAAGCCGGCGTGCCTGCCCCGCGGCCCTGGCTGGGTCCCCCACTGCCCGCTGCCTCACTCCATCAAACACGCACATTCCATCCCCTTGGCGGCTCCTGAGGCCGGGGAGACCTTGGCCTCAGAGCCCTGGGGAAGGCCCGGCTGGACCCCAGAGCCCTGGCATGCTTCCTGCCCTTCGCCGGGCCGTGGTCCCGGCTCTGCCCACACGTGGAACCCACGGGTCTGGAATCTGACCTCACGGTCTCGCGTGGGGCTGTGCCTCTGAGCCCACTTTGGGATCAGGGCGACAGGGACCCAGCGTAGGTGCTCAGGGACCCGTGGTTTGGAGTCTGCCGCTGCAAGATGTCCTTAGTGCGTGGCACGGGACCGTGGGGCCTGCGGGGGCGGGGGGGG